AATTCCTTTCTAGGACCACCTAAGTCCTCACTCTGCTCCCCGTGAAAGTTCACTTCTAGCGAAAATCGAATATTGGAAAGCAATTTAACCTCCGAGTTTGTGTCTCCCCATAGGTTGTTACGTCCAACAAATATCGAAGACGTGTCACCTTCAATAATTTCATCCACCTCGCTTATGTCCAATTTTCGTCCCATCAAAAATTCGTCTCTGTAGGTTTTCAAGGTTTTTGTGGGCTCCTCAGTTGATCCCCTTTAATATAATAAACAGTTTATCGTACATGTATAAATACTTACTGAAACCGTATCATTCTACTAGTAAGTCAGTTAGAGGTAACATTTTGATTTCAATATACTTATCCAATTGTTGGTATAAATCCCTGATTAATAAATCCTTGTAATTCTTGTAATTCAATAAAAAGACAGTAAACAATGCACTGATTTATTTACATATACATGTATACATTGATGATGCACAGTACAAACGAAAGTTTTTATATTTATGCTAGCATATGTACTGTCTAAATCCTAGTAAAGCACTCTCGACTTCTGAAAATGTCACACTTATTGTAAACGAATCTTAGCATCAATAGATGATTATCTGAAACATTAGCTTCAATCTATTAATTAACTAACTCCAACTCTACATATACGTATCTTTATCAAATACTCATCAAACTATCATAACTCTATCTTGACCTTAACTCAATGCATGGCTCCCAGTTTTACGAACAAAAGCTCCCATTGCTCCACTAATTAAAAGCTCATAATTCTTGACCACACTGGACATTGCTCTATGCTTAGTTACCCTAATACAGCTTGAATAGTCGTGGCAAGGCATCATTATGCCTGTAACTCTGAACCCTTGATCATAAATCACGTCTTTACTTTTGAACCTAAAATTAACTACTCGTCACACCTAGTTATTCTAAAATCCTTAATTTTAAATTAAGTGACTTAATGTATCCATGTTCAGTGGCTTTATAAAAATTTTACAATACGGAGTGACGAAGACAAGGACGTAATTATGGAAAGTGAATTTACTTACAAAGATTTTACCACTTTCTTGACAATCTTTTCAATTGGTCCTGTTCCTGATGTGTAGGTGCCCTCTACAGCTTGTACCTCATTTCTCTCGTCGATATCATCTTCGTCCTCACTGGAAAACATACTTAAAAAATAAATATCAGATAATGCCTAAGAAATGTAGACAATATTAAGAAGTAAAGTTCATTTTCACATACTAAAACAAATCCATAACAAAGTTGGATATTGCACGAATTATGTTACGAATTATGTTCATAGTTGAAGCGTCAACAAATATAGCCTTTAGAGTAATAGTGATTCTTCAAATGAATTTTTCATTTACTCACTGCTGGACAAGGACAGCAAAAACATGGAGGGTTGAACCAGCGGTTAACTCTATAAGTCTGTCATCCGGGTTTATGAAATTCTCCCCGCATTGTAGCAATGTATGTTGGTCCAGTTTTTCAGAGATGTACTTTAATAAGATCTAAATCAGAAAACAAATATATAAATTTATGCCTCTGCTGAAAGACTTCAGTTCATTCCATAGCGAATTTGATGTTTTGGTAGGGCATAAAATACTTGCATCAGCTTTTGTATTGTTGTGAACTTCTGTTTAGTCTGCAGACTGATTTGTTCAGTGGCAGTGTCAAAGACCTGCACCGTGAAGAAAAATATTATACGTTTTTTTCCATTATCTTAACTAAGCAATTGACAGACAGATTTGATTAATGCTAATATGAATTCATATAAGTTATTGTCACAATTGATGTCCGTATTTGATTTCCATATGTTTTTATCTGAATTCTATATTACCAATATTATTTGCCCAAAATGTTTACCATACTTTTAAGCTTGTTTAGCAGGTTTTACCCGGCGATTTAAATCCCGTGAAATCAGATTGGGCGTAGCAATTGACCGGAGCAGTTGTGTTTAAGACAGCTCTCAAGTTTTATTTTGTTCATGTAATGTCTTATTTCATGACCAGAGGTCCACCTATTCTGGGTAAGTGTATTTTATTTATTATTGTAAGCTGTATGATTTATTGAGGTTTTTTTTTTATTCCTGAAATGGCCACAGAACTTTGTTCTATAATTTCATTTGTAAGTTAGATTCAAAGTACTTTTTGCTCATGTAAAGTATATGTGTTATAAGTAAAAGTATAAGTGTATGAGTATATGTATAATGTAGACGTAGTGTTGTATGTATAAAGTATGGCGTATAGTATTCGTCTTAAAGTGGTTGTCTAGAAGTAGTACACTTAGTTTATGTGTGAACGTAAAAGTTCTATAAAGAAAAGTAGTATGAAGTGAAGTGAAGTACAGTGCAGTAAAATGCAACTAAGTAAAGTGTAATGCAGTAAAATGCAACAAAGTGAACAAAGTTCTTCTAGCATTATAGTTCAAACATTTATAGGGCTCGCAGACAGAAATAAAAATCTGTGGATTAAGTACGAGTTTGATGTAAAATCAGATAATCAAAGAAATATGGTTCTAAATTATTCAGATGAATAATAAAATATAATTGTAAAGAAATATTGATCAGTTCATAAATTTGGTTTCCAACACATCTTGAATCTTCAAGGGAGATTTTTTGTTATTAATGTTATTACTTCATGTACTAATGTACACATTTTATATTAAGATATAAACATGCATAGTATTAAATTCATGTGCACAGGTGACATGTGAAGTGAAGGCTGGTAAAGGAAAATCTATCAAAGTATTTTTATATGTGTAAGTTGATGACAAAATAAACAGAGTAAAAGAAAGGATAAGTAGAAGTATTTCTGTACACGTACTATTGAGTACCATGTTGTCTTACGGCATATCATCTTACAATCAGTAACTTGTTGATGAAGGTTTTCAATTTTGCAATCCACTTCTCAGGCATGGACAGTTCATGCAGCTCTTGGAAATTGGTACTTTTTGCTAGGACATGGGCAATTCCATAGTTTCTTCCGTCTCGAGTTGACCTTTCCTCTGCGGGTTCACAAACACTTTCATGTTTGACCCCTGGAACTTCAAATGAAAAAACTGCTTATTAATTTATTTAATATGTAAAGGTTTAAGGTATTTTATAAGTCATTTTTCTAAATGTAGGAATTACATGCAGTGAGAAAATTGTATTTATCCTGTATTCCCCATTGTTATTTTGTAGGATTGGATCTGTCCCCACCCTATTGCAAGGAATTGTGATTTGAACAAAATGTAAATGTTCACTATATGACGATGCTTATATATCAATAATACGTCAAAACACTTCTCTGTTCTTCTTAAAACTTAATTCCACATTTGCATTCACCCTAGCGTTGAGGGTTCTGATTTGTACAAACTTTAATTAACCCCACTTGAGGATGCTTGATATTAATATCCCCAGTTATTCTTGAAAAGCAGATTTCTTTAAAAGATTTGTTTATTATACGAGAGATGATCCAAAAGTTATGTAATTGTATCAATAATTTTAATATTTGGCGTCATATTATCAAATATAATATACTAAAAGATGCATGAAAATTAATCTAATCATATTTGAAAATTTCATGTTATATTGTTTACTTGAATTAATTTTATAGACGTTGAAAATATTAAACAGTAGGGGTACCGCCGCGTCACAACTAAACGTCACGTTTCAAAGAAGGATATGGAGATAACGAGCAGTATTCAATCTTAAAGTCCATTAAACAATATATACAAAATCAAAGCAGAGCAAACACGGACCTCCGAAACATCAGAGGTGGGATCAGGTGCCATGGAGGAGTGAGCATTCCCTACCGATCATACCCTACCTACATGATCAGAAAATAACGGAAAAAATCTGTCGTCAATTCAGTGTATAAATAATGGACTAACAATTGGTATGAAAAACGTCAGTCAGCATTTGACTCAATGACAAATTATATTTGCTGACAAGGTCATTGTATCGACCATAGAACTTACGAAATGATGACTTTAAACGAGACTGCTGATATTCTTGTTTCATCAACTTGCTTGTCAATAATTTACCTCGTTTAAGAAATTGTTCATACGTAGAGCATGCTCTTGCGTATCGAATCAACTGAGATATATATACTCCGTATGCAGGCGATGAAGGTATATTGCATAAGTAAGGGAAGTTGACGAACATCCTTTCAAAGTCATCAATTAAGAGTACTGCTGTAATCACTGAAAGTTTCCTCTACAATATTAATGTCATCAAAAAATACTTCTTCTGAACTTTGACTTGTAGATGCAATATCTTCCATTTATTTTCTTTTGACACCCCTTGTCCTATCTCTGCCAGCTCTAGCAAGTACAGCTTGGCTTGTTGGATCTGCCCATTGAAAAAGGCTGGGTACTGCTGTTTTCCGTAGCCTCTTACTTAAAGGTGTATTTCCTGAAAATAATATTGATATTTTCAAATAAAAAAAAATATTTCAAAGTTTTATCATTTTAGTATCAAAAACATTTAATGATTAATTTGAACATGTGTATTTGTTAAAAACAAATATATATATATATATATATATATATATATATATATATATATATATATATATATATATATATATATATATATACATGTAATATGAACATGTGTATTTGATATAATTAACTTAAGTAAGTTAGACTGAAGATGCTAATTTTTCTTTGTTTGATAATCAGTTTAGAGGATAAGACTAATATGTAAATAGACGAGATTTTTACAGAATTTTACCGTGAACAGTCTCTGCTAATAATCGCTGTCTTTGAAATGAGATCTGCACACAACGGCATAGGCAGAAGGTTCCCAGGTCTGGAATCGTGTTTCTCCTCGTCTAATTGCCTGATTTTCGTCTCATTTAATCTGATGGGACAGCATGTCGTCCTCTGTTACTACAACCAGGTACACAACAGCAAGTCTCCGGCATGTTTTACGTGTGCATATGACAGCGATTTGTTTATGTGTGGTGTGATAAAATCGTAATGATAATGCGCGAGCTAGTTCCGAAGGGGACCGCATTTTTCTGTGACGCCACCTGAGGGAAAGATAACAGGCATCGAAAAACCATTGAAGGTTTAATATACGTACATGTACATGTTGTAGTTTTTGACACTAATTAACTGGAAGGCACTTGGCTGTTCCAGCTACAAAAGGTTAGCATTGTGAATTTTTGATAAAATAATTGCGTCCAAATCAGTGTCCATGTATATTATTTATAGATTCAGATTTTTCCTGCAATTAAGTATAAAAAAGAACGTTTCATCAGAAATAACACTTCCGGGATAAGCATGTTTAGATCTGAATTTTATAGAAAAAAAATGTGTTATGGTTCTATCATCATAGGAACTTCTTGTAGAAATTCTTTGATAAAAGTTATTATGTCTACTATAAGTAACAAGCATATAAACTGACATTTCATTTTATGCAAAAATAGTTTTTTAACCGGAAATTAAATATTTGTACATGCTTCCTCTATGAGATTTAAATTTTTTTTCTGTCGTTTTTTTTATCATACTCATATTCTCCGTAAATATCCTCAATGTTAAACTCTTAGTGCGCATTTGAGACAACGTTTTTATTACTGTGTCATTCAGACCAGTCAATATTTCAGCTTGCAAGATAGTCGGTTCATAACATTCACTTTGGAGTAAAGAGTTTCTCATTTCGTGTGTAGAAACTGTCAGAGTTTCTCTCTTTTCATCGGTGATAGTTCGGTATGGATTGTTAACTTGTTATCATCCTCTATATATTTGGAAGCAGCTGTGATAACAATGTTATCGTTCTTAATAAGAAAAAATGAATAAAAGTCCAAAGGACTGCAGACAATCACACGAGATAGCACAGTTGTTTGGGTGTTTTTTGGACAGCTTGGATATTTTCATGTGAATAATTAAGCAGTGTTTTC